GAGGGAGGTGGGGGGCGGCGGCGGGGGCTGGTGCACAGGGTCCAGAGCCGTGTTGTGGACGACCTTGCTGAGCCCGGCTTCCTGCTTGATCTTGAGCTTGAGGCCAATGCGACTGCGGGCCTCGTAGGTCTTGATGGGGGGCCGGTTGCGGGAGGGCATTGGGCCGTCCTCATCAGCATCCAGAGAGGAGGCAGCAGAAGACGAGGAGGATGAGGACAGGGAGGAGGAAGCTCGCGCCCAGGTCACGGAAGGGGAGCCGCCTGCCCCGCCGTGCCGGATCACCAGTTTGGTGGGCAGATGCAGAGGGGGCTGGGCTGGAGCCCCGGGTGCTGAGGACGGTGGTGGGCCGTGGCTGGGGAGCCGGTGCCCCTCGGAAGAGGTGGTGACAGGGAGGCCAAGAGAGCGTGAGGAAGACACATACTCATCTGCAGAACCAGGGGAGCAAGAAAACCCAGCAAGTTAGGGAAAGTTTGAGGTACACGCCCAGAGCAGAACTAAGAGAAGAAGGCCAAGCACTGAGCATCCGTTACCCACCTAGGCTAAGCCCTTTACTTACTAAATGCTCAGCACACACTGGCAGGTCTCAGTGTTCCCAAGTCCCCCCAAAGTGCACCTAAGGGCGAATGCTACCTTAAGTTCTGCAACCCAGGTGGCTCGCTAGCCTCACTCTAGTCCTGGCTCTGCTCTTAGGCTTTTCTCTCCCCCTAGGCGGGGCAGATGTGGCCCCTCGGATGAGAGGCTGCAGGAAGGTGGGGGCTCAGGTGCCCCCTGGTGGCTAAGTAAGACCATGCATGCTGCTCTGGGGTCCCCAAGTCTAATTCTGTGGCTCAAAAGGGGTGGGGGGTCACCTCTTTCACCCAACTCTCCACACTCCCTCACCTGGTTTCTCCTTGGCCAGCTGTTTGTCCAAGGCAAGAGTGGTCTTCTCCTCCTGAATGAACATTCGGTCAATCATGACCATCTCTGCTGACGGGCTCACCCTCTGAGGGAGGGAGAAGAAACCACAGGCAAGGAAGACATAAGGACAGGGTCAACTGGAAGCAGCCCAGACGGTCCAAACTGTCCTTCTTGTGATCTGACCACCAGCCTCCCGCACAAGAGGCCCCCAAGCTCCGGGGTGAGAGTGAGGGGAAACAGGGGCCCTACCCGTGACTCCTCCAGGAGCAAGAGGCGGTATTTATTGAGCATGGCCTGAGTGCGCTTCAGCAGCTGCGTGGAGACTGTCTCAAACTCCTCGTCCACTGTGGAGGGAGAGAGGAGATCTAGAGTCTGGATGGCAGCAGCAGGCAAAGCCTATGACCAGCTGGGAGGCCCTGCAGGCGCAGACCTGCACCTCCCCCCAGGGGTGGGTGGGAAGGAGGGAGTGTCAGGGAGTCCTCACCTTTGTGGTAGTCGTTGGGGGAGGGGAGGACACCTTGGTAGACATGGTAGGGCAGGAGGCGATGCAGGGCATCCTCGAAGGAGGGGAAGGCGGTCTTGTAGTCAGGGTGCAGGACGGAGCCCTGATGTTTGTGCAAATGCTCCAGGAAACTGGGGGCAGGGCGGGGAGGGGGAGAAACCACACATATCGCTGGTGGGGAGACCAGGGGTACCAAACCCCAGACCCTGGCTCCTAGGCCCCAAGCAAGACAACAGGGGAAAAGCAAGCCAGCGCCTGGGAAACAGGTATTAACTTGTTCTGTCCATTGACTGGCGGAAACCAGAGGAAGCAGGTGCTATTATTATATCCTTGCTGGACAGATGAGGAAAAACAGGCTGGGAGAGGCGAAGGCCCTGGACTGCAGGCACAGAACGGGAGGCGGCCACCAGCTGGGAGCTCATCCTCAGTGCTATGCTGTCTCCAGCCGCTGGGGGTCAGCACGTCCCCTTGCTGCGTAGAGCCCAAGGGCGGCTGGCGAGGGAGCCTGGTCCTGCTAAGGGCTCGTCCTTTCCAGGGACTGTTTGGGACTGTTCCCTACCATCTCACTGTATCCCACTGGGTCACAGCTATTACATGGTCACTTTTCCCACAGACACACTCATCTGCACCCCGCGCAGAACAGCAGGTCTGTGCTGGTGGGGGAAGGCAGGGGGGGGTGTCCACTCCAACCTCCAGCCAGCCGGCCATGTGTCCAGCCGGCCTGACAGGAGGCGGTTTGGGCACCTCTCCATCCTTCCTCCACACGGCCCATCCCAGGGCACTGAGCAGCCTGTGTGAAGTGTCCAGGACACCTCCTGAGGCCACAATAGATCCCTCCCTGGAGAGGCCACAGCCTCTCAGGGTACCACGGCCGTGCCCTGACAGAATCCTCGCCGGCAGCCTGTTGTCACGGCACGACCACACGTTTGAGGCGGACTTGTGCCAGCCCACTCAGGCGGGGTGGGGCCGGCTCAGGGACAGGCTACACTCACCAGGCTTCTTTGCTGGGCTGCAGCACCGGAGGCTTCTTCAGGCCGCTCAGCCGGCTCTCATACTGGGGAGAGAGGCGAGGGAGAGGGAGACTTCTTGCCTGGGCCCTGACCCCCATCTCTTCCAGTGTGGGACAAACTTGGGGCGGGGCCATCGTCTCAGCCTCCACCCAGATGGGGTCCTGGCTTGGGATATGGAGGTGGGGGGACAAGCCGACCCCTACTGTAGAGAGTTTCGGTCTGAGGCCCTAGACACACTCTGGGATCTCCTTCCCTACTTTCTGAAACGCAGCTTTGCTCTCATCACTACCCTGCCTCTGTCAATTCCGCCAGATTCCCTGGCCCTGATGTGCAGTCTTCCCAATGCCCCCTCTTCTGACCGCCTCTGCCTCAGTTTCCCGACCCTCCAGTCCAGGCAGGCACATCTCAGACTCCTTCCGGGTCTCCCCACCCCTGTGGCCTCCCTGCTCCCTGCCCTGTTTGGGGTCCCCCCCATCAGCCTGTCATGCAGCTGACTCAACCTCCCTATCCTGAGCTGACACCCCAGTCTTGCCCTCCCGCAGTCTCAACTCCCACTGGCCCCACCCAAGCCTTGGGGCCTCTGCCGGGCTACCTCCGGATTGCCACCCTCTCGTCCTGGTGTCCACGGGTCTCTGTTCAGCTGTCTGGGTATCTTGAAACACCATCCCACCCTCTAGCCAGACTGCCCTATTGCCTTGACCGCAGCGCAGATGTCCTCTTGACCCTTGGTGTCAGCCTCACCTGGCCCTGGCCAGGTTCCCTGCGGCTGGCTACGGCCTCTTACCTGCAGCCCGGACGACTTCCCAGATGAAGAGCCCTTGGCCACACTCAGGGTTGGGAGATTGCTGGCAAAACCTTTGCTCTCGGCAGGAAGCAGAGGAGGGAGGCCTGGTGGTGGTGGTGGGGAGCAGATGGGCTCAGGGGTCACTGTGCCAAGTGACCCTCTCCTCAGATGTGCACCCCAGCCTGCACCGCTCTCTCCAGCCAGGGTAAACATACCAGCTGTGGGGAGTCTGCTCTTCCTCCTCCACCTTCCCTGGCCCGTGAGGTCCGGGCAACCCCTTGGGTTGGCTGCCCCAACCCGTGCCTATCACCCAGTCTCCGTCTCCCTACCACTACCTTGCTTTCAGCCGCACCCCCGCTCAGGTCCTAAGTGAGGTCCCTTTCCCTTACCTGTGGTGGCCATGGATGTCGGGGCCGGAGGGTGGCTGGGGGCAGCAGGAGTCCCGGCTGGGGCCTGCCCACTGACCAGCACAGAGGCAGTGGGGCTGCTGAGGGGGCCCAGGCTGGTGGAGGTCTGTGGGGCAGTGGGGGCTCCTCCAGCCTTGTTCTGGAGAATGATTCCGGACGGCACCTGAGGAGGGGACAGATGGTTAAGGAGTAGAGGCATGTCAGGAATGGGGTGGCCAGGCACCAGGACTGGGGGTGAGGAGAGAGCTGTAAAGCAAGAGGGACTAGGGATTAGCCTGGAGGGGAGGGCAGTGGGCCAGTTCCAGCCTCCGATTACCTGGTGGAATCTTTCAAGAAGAGCCTTCTGCTGGGGCAGCGCTGGGAAGGGGGCCGTCACCATCTGGAAGCTCCGAGGCGGTGGGGGGGGTGCTGTGGGCTCGGGGACCAGGTGGAGAGTTGGAGGGGGTGTAGGGGGCTTGTGGGCCTGGCCTGGTGGGAACTGAAGCTGGAAGTCAGGTGGCGTGGGGGCTGGTAGCCGGGAGGACAGTTCAGAGGAGGCCACGACCGAGGAGGTGGAGGCTGGAGGGAGGTGGGGCGCTGGGGGCAAGGGGCCCTCCGGGGGCTGGGATGGAGGGCGCAAGGGAGGCTGGGGAGGCCCTGGGGCGGCGGAGGCTGGGGTGCTGGCAGGTGGGGGGACGCCCAGCTGATTCTGGATGACAAAGATGCCGGGCAGGGTGGGGGGAGCCTGGGGAGGAGGGCATGGGTGCAGGGTAGGCTCTGAGGGTGGACGGGACAAGCTCTGGGGCTGGGATGGAGGGCGGGAGTGGGGACGGGAAGGTGGGCGAGAAGGGGGCCGGGCAGGATGTGGGGAGGGCAGGTGGGGGCTGTCCCCCAGAGGGGCCTGGTGAGGTAGTGAAGGGGATGAGGAGGGGCCTGGACCCTTCAGTGGAGCCGATGCAGGGATCTGGGCAGGGGCAGGAGGCAGAGGGAAAGGGAGTGGGGTCAGAACCAGTCTTGGTTCCCACCATCCCAAGACACTGGGGACACCAGCCACTCCCACTAGATGCCCCCTTCTGAGCCACCTGTGCTGAGGGGCCCCGGCCATGCCTATCCTTTGAACTCCCCCTCCCCCAGCCCGCTCCCACCCCCTCCGTACATCCACCCTCTATGTCACCCCCTCCCCGTGTATGCCCTACCTCCCCAACTCCCCCAGATGAAGGCAAGCCCTGCAGGATTTGGGGGTGGCAATGAAGGAAGCAGAGGGCGCACCACACCAGCTGCCCAGCAGGAAGGCAGGGGCCAGGGAGCATGAGCACAGCAGCCGGGGGGCCAGGAGGAGGAGCCGCAAGGGGCGGGGAGAGGGGAAGGGCAGCGTTCCAGCTGCCACCAGGCCTGACTGTCCAGCTAAGCCAGGAAACACGCATCAGCACAGACGCTGTGGCTGCACACTGAGACAGGGCACAGCTGACTGAGGAGGGTACGGGCAGGTTCTGGGGACCAGGGGGCTGAGGCTGGGGACTGAAACAAGGGCAGGGCCAGGTCCTAAGTCATGGGGCCCCTCAGAGTCCAGGGCGCCCTGCCACCCTATGCCTGTGTGTTGTGGCTGCAGGCCAACCTGGGTGCCGGGAGAGCTGGGGGGGTGTACACGTGTGCACGCAGGTGTCACTCTCACAGGTGCCACTGGGGCTTGCTCTGCCATTCGTGCCCGGTGCCCTTGCCTAAAACACGCCTTGGCCAGCTGCCTTAGCTCTCGGCCCGCTCCTGCACCAGGGCCATACTCTTGGCCGCTACTGTTTCACTAGTAAGTGCCAGCTGTGTACCTGCCACTGGGCCGGCACAGAATCCACACCCCAGTGACAGTTCTCATGGTTCTGACACACAGGGCCAGCCAGAGAAACCCACTCATGGTCTCCATGGCCTGGCCCAGACAGCAGTGACAACACAGCACCCACTCACACAGGAACTGAAGCCTGAACGCTCAGTGACGGAGCAGGGTCTCCAGAGTGTGGGATTTCAAAGCTGACTGCGAAGGACTCGGCCTCGTGTGGACCAAGGGACTTGCCAAAGCGCCCTCCAGTCCCAAAGTGGGCCAGCTGGTGATTTCCAAGTTACCAGTTGCTTTAAGTCTCCCAGGCCCTGGACTCTTCCAGCATCCTACTCACACTTAGCCCTGAACAGATCTGGCAAATCAAAGCAAGACCCAAGCCACAGGCTTCGGACCTCTAAGGACAGATTGGAGGTGTCTCCTTGGACTCTCCCAGGGGGCTGGTGAGACTGCCACCCCGATAACCTCTTTGGACGGCTGCCTGGCCTGGTGACCAGTCACAGGTCACTCAACGGTGGGGATCCTTTCTGAGAAACGGGTAGCTAGGCAATTTCGTTGTCGTGCAGATGTCATGGAATGTAATGACAGAGAGCAAGACGTCACAGCTAAGGAACCTAAGGGAGCAGCGTACATGCACGTGGTCCATTATGGACACGATGAACGTCATTACATGGTCATGACGATCTACGATGGAGAAACAAGACCCATGTGGGCCAGGGCAGGTGAGCAGCTAAGAGACCGAGGAAGAAGTGAGACCATCTGCTCCACACCACCTCCCGAACACACGCTTCTGAGGGCCTCGAACGGTGGGGGCAGCAGGGTGCCAGCTAAGCTGAAGGAGCAGAGCAGAGTGTTATGCCACCACCAGATGACGGTTAAGCTAGGTGACGGCAAGAGGGCAGGTAAGAGCGGCGGTCCATGAGGCCCAATTTGCTGGACTTGCTGACTCTCCTGCGGTCAAGTAAGAGCGTGCTCTTATTCTCCAGGACTGCAGCACTGTCCTAAGACACAAGGGCTAAGAGGAGGACACCTGCCCCTTCCTCTCAGTTCAGGAGAAAACGCAAACCATCAAGGAGTGGAGCACAAAGCGAATGCAGGAAAGATATTAATGGGGGGCTGTGGTGAGGGCCAAGCCTCTAAGGCAGCCACCCGCAGGACGCCAGGGCTGCTCTCTGCCCTGGCAGACATGGGCACAGGCATTGCCAAGGTTAGGTGCGCCACCCCGGGTGCGCCCTCCTGCCTTTCTGTGGGATGGTTCACACTTTGGGGGTGCAACTGTGCAACATGCCAGAGCTGCCCAGGGAGCCTATGAGTGAGCCGCTCTGGAAGCAGAACCTCCCAGAGGGTGCCCAGAGCCCTTCCTCTGGGAGACTGCAAGTTAGAGTCACAGCGCCAAGCTGCTTCCAGAGTCCAGGTCTTCAGAATCAAAATGAGATAAATGAGGGTTTAAGTGCTAGTTGGGTTTTTTTGTTTGTTTGTTTGAGGGAGAGGGATATGTTACACAGCAACAGATAACTAACAAATCTAGTTAAAGAGTAAAGCACTCCCATGAGTTTTTTGAACGATTCTTGCTATATGTTTGTAATGACTTTAAATCTTCAAATAACAAAAAAAAAAAAAGGCTTTAGTCACTATAAATGCAGAGCACATGCAAACCCACACAACCAAGTCAAAAATCCAAACGGCCTGGGAGAATGGGGGGGGGGGCAATTCATAGCAGGGACAAAGATCATCAATGTCATATATAAAGAGTCTCTAGAAGTCACTAAAAATAACAGTGAGCAAAAGGGGCAAAGGATATGATTGTGCCGAAAGAGAAAGTACAAAGGTTTAAGAATTTCAAGAGAAATAAGAGAAAAGCAAATACAAAATAGCCCTTGGCACCGTTTTCACAATATGTAGAACAAGGAAAATGCCTCATAAAATATCCATCCAGGGCCCTCCCTGGTGGCGCAGTGGGTTAGAGCACAGCACTAAGAAGCTGAAGCCACTTCCGCATGAGTTCGATTCCCACCTGCCCCGGAGGTGACCACATGGTGCGGCAGACCTCTCCTGACCCGCCCGCTGCTCTCCTCAGCAGTGTACTTCATAGATCTGCCTGTTCTGCTCCCCACTCTGTCTCTGGTGAAGTCTCTCACCCTCCGCATCTCTGGCCTGTACCCAGTTCTGTATGAATAAATAAATAAATCTTAAAAATAAAATCCATCCATTCATGCACTATCTGTCTATCCAGCCCTCCTTCACCTGCTCACCCTCACCCCACAAACACTTATCAAGAACCTGCCTTCCGCAGGGCAGCACAGGGCAGGCACAGCACTGCAGAGGCCGTGCGTGGGCACAGTGTGCACAGTGACCTTTCTTTCTAGAGGTCACCCACGGTACTGCTGCTGAAGGTAAGTATCTGTTCTTTGAGTATCTGCTCTATGCAGCACATGAGGGTGGTGGCCTCATTCCCATTTTACAGATAAGCAAACTGCCTCGGAAGCCTGACTGCTATGCAGAGCTGAGACATCGGCTTTCTGGTCTTTCTCAAGACCTTAGGTATCTCTGGCAACAAATCAGGGCTCGACTCCAGCCCCTAGCAGCTGAGCAAACCACTTCACCTCTCTGTGCCTGTTTCCTCATCTATAAAGTGGGGCTAATGACACCACCTTCCCAACAGATTACGTGAAGGTTAAGTGCAATAGCGCTTGTATTTGTAAAGTGCATGGAACAGCACCTAGAAATAATAAAAATATTATTATCCATGCAGCCATTACCATTATTACTTCTTCCTCATGCCACCAATCCTTAAGCAAGTTTCAAACTGCCCCCAAATTCTACTTCTCTCCATCATCACTGCCAATGTGTCCCTGGATGCTGAGACCACCCACCTCTTGATCTCTGGACTTACACTCCCATGTCCCACCAAAACATTTCTTAGTGGGGGCCCTCCCTCGTGGTGTAGCAGGTCAAAGCAAAGCACTATGAAGCTATCCACAGACACTGAAACACAAGTTTGATCTCCGGCCAGGGAGTGACGCACAGGGCGCAGCAGACCTCTCCTGTCTCTCCTGCCGTTCCCCTCAGCAGTGGATTTCAGCACATCTGCCTGTTCTGCTCCCCACTCTGTCTCTGGTGAGTCCTCTGATCACCACTCCCACGCCTCTGGCCTGTACTCCTGTTCTTGCATACATGCATAAATAAATCTTTAAAAACAAACATTTCCTAATGGCAGAGAGTTCACTGAAAGTCATCTCATCAGACGAGGAGTGGCCCAGCTAGACACTGCTGCTGGTTTCCTGGACCAGCCCCTTCCGCGGTCTCGCCAGCCATGCTGGCCCCTGTCGCACCCCTGCGAGTGCTATTGAAGCCTGGCCTCTGCTCTCTGCAAGGCGATTCCTTTAGACCTCAGTTTAAACATTTCTCCCACCCAGATGCCTCTCCTGCCAGCTCCCTCTCCACAGGGTGGCCCTCAGCTCTGCCTCCTCCTGGCACCTCTGCTGCCCTCTCTGCCACCACCAGCACGCTCATCTATGCAGCTGTGTGCCTGAGTTTGGAGAGTGCATCCCCTGAGCATGTTGCCTCTCTCCTTGATTCCACTGTGGTGAAGTCAACCGTCAGCACGGGCAGGCGCTCCACCTGTGGTGGGTTCCTCCCTCTACTGCATGCGGGGGGCACAGGTACCAGGCATGGGGAGCCTGTGCACGGGCACAGCCACACAACTCCCTGCCTTCCCTGTATGGACCTGTTACAGTGAGAACGACGTAAACATATGGTTGGATGGGAGGGCAGTGCGTGCCCTGGAGGAACACCAAGCAGGAAGACGAACTCGGAACACCAGGCTGCAAACTAACAGAAAGTGGCTGGGGAAGGCTGGAAGGTGTCACAGGGGGACAAACTGGTCCCGCTTTGCTGGGAACGATCTCTATTTTCAACCAGAAAGTCCTGACTCCTAAGAATCTCCTCAGAACTCAATGTGGGGATGGGTGATCCCTGAGGAGAGGGTCTAGAGAAGCCTGAAAGCACAGCAAGTTGGCCAGTGTCCATTCAACACTGGTGTGGCAGAGTCCACTCTGGGGAAGGGGCTTGATCTTCCCATGTGGCCACTGAGCACAGGAGGCTCAGGGTGGGGAGGTCTGTATCAAACCTGCTTCTGGAAACAGTGCTTCTAACTGTGATTGTTATCAAGAGCCCACTCTGTGCTAAGTATATATGGCTCCTCCTAACAGACCTGTAAGAAAATGATTTCATTTTTCAGCTGATGCAATCAAGACTCAGGCATTGCAGGGACTCGTTCTAGGGCAGCACAAGACATGACCCACGGAAGTGCCCCTTTGCCCAACCACCTGCTGAAGGAATGAAGAAAGGGACACCAGAGTGTGATGCCTCCTTTACCCTGACCCACTCCCCACCCCGTCCTCCAGAATCAAAGGTAGCCCTCCCCAACTTTTTTATCTGGTGATGACTCTTATGAGATTACTGGGTAATTTTCCTAAATGTGTAAAGTCTCCACAAATCAACAAGAAAACAACCTGTAACCCCAATCTTTAAGTGGCAAAGGGTGTGAACAGACAGATCCATAGAAAACACAAACAACTCTAAATCTACAAAACCTGCTCAAACTCACTCACAGTCAAAGAAATGCAAATTGAAACAAAATAAGACACTATTTTTCATGTACCAAACTGGACAAGTTCAATACATTACTGAGAATGAGGGAAAAAAGACAAAGGTCATACACTGTATGATCGGCAATTTATACCCCACAGTGGAACAAAGTGGCAGATCTGGCAAACTATACACGCACCTGCGCTTTATCAGACCAGCAATTTCCTTTTGCAGAACTTGTCCTGTCCTACAAAGTGACTAAGTTCAGAGTTGCACTCTGCAGCACTGATCCTTATATCTAAAGACAGGACATGCTAAAGATGCACAAAGCAAGGACCAGCTAAATAACAGCACAGCCATGTGCTGCTTAACGAGTCCATCGCTGAATCACCTTAAGAAACGCATGGCTGTTCCCCCACACAGTGAAGTATTACAGTCATATCAAAGAGGGAGTGTAGTCTCCAGGATGCACTTTGAAAGCTGAAAACAGGGTGTGAAACTGCCTGTGGGTAGATGATCACTTTTGTAAAAACAGAAGAAAAGTAGCAAGTCAATAAAACTGGAAAAAAAAAACAACCCCAAAAACATGACTTGGAAACACAGAGGTGATGAGCAGAAGGAAGGGTTAAGATACTGAGTCACTGACCCTAAGGAATTAGCAAAGGCCAGTGACCTGTTATTTTTGCAGCTGCTTAAAAAGGAATATTTGTCCTTTAAAAGTGTGAATATGTAGTACTTTGAAAAAATAAAATAGGGTTACAAAAGGGAAAAAAGGGAAGCGTCTTGTGTGTCATTCTGCTCACGCATGCATGGAAAAGGGTGTCAGAAACATCTCGAGGAGGAACAGGCTGTGGCTGGGAGAGGGGGCTTTCATCACACCTTTGGGTATCTTTTGAAAATTGAGCTCTTAGAATGCACTGAGGACATGAAGATGGTCATTGTAGGAAACAATCATTTCCTGCTGTATACTGTATCCCTGTGGGCACCCCTGGGGCTGGGGCTGGCCCTGGTCCGAAGCATCCTGGCCTATCAGGAGACCCTCAGGGGAGCAAAGGGGAGTGCCGTTTCCCAAGCCAGCGAGACAGAGAGGCAGGCAGGGCAGCCAGAGAGCAAGGAGGGGGAAGCAGGGAGCAGGGTGAGGGGGCCAGGCTGCTGGGGGTCATCTACCTGGGGGGCTGGTGCCGGGGAAGCCTGGCTGTCGGGGGCCTGAGGGCCGAGGCCAGCTCCTTTGGCGACGGGGGTGGTCGGGGCTGGGTCTTGGGCGGGAGGCGGGGCGCTGACTATGACCGAGGCGGGCACGGAGAGGTGGGGGCCCTCTGTGGAGAGGGGCTGCTGACTCCTCTCCTGAAATGGGCAGCCCCAAAGGCTCAGAAGGTGACCCCACGGACCCTCAGCCTCCCCACCTGGAGACGCTGCCCCCACCAGTGCTCCAGAAAAGGGGGTGGGGGAGCAGTGGGAGGGGCACTGAGGCCGGACGCAGAGGCCAGAGAGGCTGGGCACCCCAGCGTCCAGGTCCCAGGAGGCCACAGCCTGGCAGCTGATTCCACGCAGCTCTCCCTCCCCCTCCCCCCTTCTGGCCACGGTCAGTCCATCCATCCAGTCTCGCCCCCTCCCTGTGGTCCTTCTCAAGCCCCAGCAGGGGCGCAGTTAGCCACCACCCCCGTCTATCGGTTCTTGTCAGTCTGTGTCAGGTCAGTTCCAGCTCTACCTGCTGGTCCCTCTCCTTTCTGTCTGTCCCTCTTTTTGCTGATCTGTCTTTTTCTCCCACTGTCCATCAGTCCTTGTCACCGTAGGGTCCTCCTTGGGGACGCCTGTACCTGCAGCGGGAGTGCCACTGCTGAGAATCCCCCCAAATCCTCAGGCCCTCCCCCGTCGCGTCTAGTTTCCAGTGCCCAGCCCCTCCCTTGCTAGCTGCTCCGCTGCCTCTACCGCCCTGCTGCCTCCTGCCAGCCCTGGTTACCTGGGGCAGGAACATCTGCAGGGAGTCCTGAGTGAGGACAGCTGTGGTGGCGGCGGAGGGTGGCTGCCCCAGGACGATCTTCTCTGGGCTGGACGCCAGGCCTGGGCTGGGCTGCGGGGTGGTGGCCTGAGGTGGGGCAGTGGCCTGAGGGGCGGGGGCCTGCTGGGCGGGCGGCTGCTGTGCCTGTGGCTGCTGGAGGCCCAGAGGCAGCGGGGTGCTGACCGTGGGGGGTGCCTGGGGAGCTGTCTGCACAGCCAGGACAGGTGTGGCCTCCCCAGCAGCAGCAGGGGTGGCTGGCTGCACCAGACCATCAGGGGTGTTCAGCATGGCCACGGCACTCGGGGGTAGAGTGACCCCCTGGAGAACGGTAGTGGCGGCGGGACCAGTGGGGGCCGGCTGGCTCTGCGTGGGCAGGCTGCCTGCGGCCAGTGACACCGGCATCTGGAAGAGGGCGGGCTGGCCCACCTGGATGGGGGCGGCCGAGAGGATGTGGGCTGCACTGTGGGCCCCAGAGTGGGGGGCCAGCACGGGGCCCAGGCTCAGTGGGCCAGCCAGGTTCTGGTTGGTGAGGATGGGGTTGGCGATGAGCTGTCCTCCTGCATGGGGGGCTGCGGCCGCCAAGATCTGCCCACCCACGTTGGCCGGCAGGGCCGAGAGCGACTGGGGAAGCTGGACTGCGGATGTGCCAGGCAGCAGGAACTGGTTCTGGCCCGGCAGCATGTGCTGGGCGGGGATGACGATGCTGCTGCCTTGATTCAAGAGGTGGACACTCATGGGCTTGCTCAGAGCCCCAGGGGGCTGTGCAGGGGCTGCCCCCGTGGTGGTGGCTGGGGGCTGTTTAAAGACGTTGGCCTGCAGGGCGGGCGCCGGGAAGCCTGAGAGCACCACGTTCTGGCCAGCCTTGCCCGCCGCCATGAAAGTCAGGTTCTGGGGGGCCTTGGGCTGCTGTGGGAGGGCCCCTGCCTCACCCTGGATGGTAAGCGTGGCGCCCGCGGGGGCGAAGGGCTTGGGTGTCAGCTGGTAGAGCTTGGGGGGCAGCACTCCGGCAGGCTTGGGCTGGATGGGCGTGGGGGTGCGGTGCAGGATCACGTTAGGTGCTGGAACCAGGGGTGATGTGCCAAGGCCTGGGGCCACCGCCAGGGGCTGTCCTGAGGGCGCCCCACTGGCCGCAGCTGCCGTGGCCGCTCCTGCTCCTCCAAATACTGAGTTCCCGTTGAGTGTGGTGGCCACAGCGGCTGGGAGGTTCTTCTGGATGACCAGGCCGGCTCCCTGGGGTGAGACACCAGCCGATGCCAGTGTGACTGGCTCTGAGGGGCCGGCCGCCGAGGCCAGATAGCCACTGACTGGCACCTGCTTGGCCAGGAGCTGGGAGGTGGGTGGGTTGAGTGCCATCACGGGCTGGCCCACCACCTGGATGGGTGCCAGGCCAAGCGTGGCAGCTGCGGCACCCCCAGGACTCCCGTTGGGAAGGCCCTGGAGGCCCGGGATGGGCTGCAGGGTCACATTGCCCAGGCCCACAGGCTGTAGGAAGGGCTGGACACTCAGTGCTTTGTTGACCACGTCCTGGGGTGGCACCAGAGCTTGGTGGGTGAGCACGGTAGGTGGGGCCTGCAGCCCCAGCAAATCGGTGCTGCCGGGGAAGAGGGCCTGGGGCCCGGCGGCCACAGTGGCAGCTCCCCCGGCCCCTGCTGGGCCTGATCCAGTGTCCGCAGGCTGCAGGGTGGGCAGCTGGAAGGGACCCAGGTCCAGCTCGGCCTCAGCCTCCAGCGTCTGCTCAGTGATGTTGGCTTCTTGTAGGCTCTGCTGGAGGATGTCACAGGGCTGGTCAGCGCCGCCCCCAGCACCAGTGCCGCCCCCTGCCGCCGGCGAGCCCAGGATGTCATCTTCTAGGAAGTCTAGGTCCACACTGGGGGCCGGTTGGCTAGACTCCGGGTTCAAGTGGTTGCCAGGAGCTTCTTGCACGTGGAGCTGGAGACAGGGTCAGGTGGGAAGAAGGCAAGAGCGGAGGTGAGCAAGGGTGGGCTCAGGCATGGCTGAAGCAAAGGACAGGAGGGTCAGAAAGAACCCTCCATCTGGAGGGAGCGGGTCCACGTTCAAACCCCAACTCCTCCAGGACTGAGCTGCACAACCCAGGGCTTGCTTACTCCAGCCCGCTTCCTCATCTGTACACAACAGTAGGATGCAGTGGAAACCATGCTTTAAACAGCCACACAGGCCCCTCCTCCCACCCCGTGATTCCAAAACCGAAGAGGTGCCGAACGCCACGAATGTTTTTCTAACTCTTTTGGCCGCAAAACCTGTTCCGAACCTAAGTGGGGCTTCAGGGGCGCAGCCAGATCTATTCGTATTACGTGATGCTTCTGAAGTTTGGCCAAGGAAAGGTGAGGGGCGGGTTTTGTCACCTGCAGCCCACACCCGTTGTGGGCCACCTTTTGAGAACCTGGAGGCCTGCCTGGCCTCCTTGGGAAAGATGGTGACTCTATTAAGGGTAAAGCAGCCCACCCGCCCTCCGTGTGTGGTGGATGTGGGGCATGGGAGATGCTATGACTTGATGTGGTGAATGTCGGGTTCCCCCTACGCTCTCCCCCCTCCCCCCAGCTATGAGCTGTGAGTTTGACATTTCTTTGATGCTTTCTCTGCTGTACCAGGTCACAAAGCAGACATACATTATCACAGCAGTGTGTAGGTTTGAGCAAATCTCCCACAGACAAACAGTGTGTTGACACTGGCATCTGAGCAGCGCTCAGAGCAGAGAATTCACATCAGTCCACCTGCCCTGCAGCATGCACTTGGGAAGCATCGATGGCCACGGTCACTGTCATTATTGTTACTGTCCACATCCTCGTCGAGTGAGGCGGGCACTGCCCTGGGCCTGGATCACCCAGCTACTGGGGGAGAGAGTGCTGGCTACGGTACTCTGGCTCGGTCACCAGCAGAGGATGGGGTGCTCTGAGTGTCTAACCCCTAAGTGGTCCTAAATGAACCCCAACCTTGCCTCCTGGGAGGGTCGTGAATTCACTAAGTTCACGTACAGGAGGTATTTAGAACGTTTTAACACTGTAGACCAATGTGTCATCAACTGGTCTCCATTAGAGTTGGAATCAATGGAGGACCACACACTGGGATGACAGCCTGATTGGCCTAAAAATGCGATAGGAACGGAACGTGCTCACTTACCCCAGGACCTTCATAGAAGGCACTTTGGGCCTCCCCGGGATTATCCAGGAGGTCATCACCGTCAAGCTGCAATGAGAAACCCCCAAATGAACGGTCAGCTGGGCACAGGCCCATGCTGTAGCGCAGGAACTAATTTAGGGCGAGGGGGAAGGACAAGCGTTGGGGGCGGGATGGTGAAGGGTACAGGGATTTCCGCCTCCAGAAAGGCCGCCACGGCACCCCCACCCAGTGTGCTCTCCCAGCCACAGTACTCGCCTTCTCGGATCCATGTAAGAAGTCATTGAGGGCCTGAGGGTCACTGAAAAAGAGAAGAGGAAGAGATACTGAGGAAGTGAGGGGCAGGGGAGGACGGGGGAGGGGCAGGAGGGGCCTGTTACTCACCAAATCACGTCTAGTAAGCATCTCCCATCCTCATCATCCATCGCCACTGGGTGGGGCAGGGCAGGAAGGGGCAAAGGGGACAAGATTAGACTCAGCAGCAGGCCAGGCCGCCCCTCTCCGACACAGCTCCCAAAGCCCCAGGGAGGGTCAGGCTTTCCGTTCCCTTGAGTCTGTGGATATGGGTGGGGTGGGCAGCACTCCCAGCTGCCCTCGCCACAGAACCTCCAAATGAGGGGGGGACAGTGGCCTTCTCTACGCCCCTCCCTGCCCCCACTCTCTTTCCCCAGCATCTGGTAACACCACAGAGATGACATCAGCCAGTCTGAGGGAGTCGAGATCACTCAGAGGCCTCACGTACTGAACTCAGCCAGCCCCATGGCACCCCACAGGTGGGTGCCGCCACCCTGCTCTGTAGATGACAAAAAGGAGGCATCTCCCAGCTGGCAGGTGGCTCCTAAGCCTCTCAGGCACACCTGAACTTGTGCTCTTCACTTCCAGGCCCCTGAGTACAGGGCCTGGCCATGGAGAGGGCAGCGAGGGTCTGTCTTACCAGTGAGCAGATGAGGGGGCTGAAGGGAGGGAGGAAGGAAGGAGGCAGCGAAAAGGGCTTCCCAGGTACTGGGTCCCCCTAGAAGACACGTGGTGTGTTTCCCAAGGAAGGGCGGGGCAAGGGGACCGGCACACGGAGCGGGGAAGGGCTACCTCACAGCCGGCAGTCAGCCCGGGGCCGGCGCAGGCCAGAAGCACAACGACCAACAGGCTGCCCGCGGAGCCGGCGGCGGGCTGGTGCCCAGAGAGGCCTTTCCCCCGCTCCTGGGGGTGGCGACCGCATGCCCCCACCTCAGTTCCCTTCCTGTGTCCCCGGTCTGCAACCCACTGGGCGCTGTCCTTCCCAGCCAGCCCATGGGGAGAAGGGCCACTCAGGAACAAAAGGACAAGATGTGCAGAGCTGGAGAAATGGGGACAGGGTGGAGGAGGCCCTGCTCACAGTGGGCAAGAGACCAAGGCAGGGCTCAAATGGCCCCAAGCACCTGGCTGCTGAGGGATGCTGCTAAGTCAGGCTCTGTCAGGAAGGAGGGCTCCTTCCTCATCAGGGAGGCCGATGGGCCATGGCCCCCCAGGAACGAACTGGTTACCTGCGCTACAAACGAATCATGAAGGGAAGGAGGGGGTGTCCACTCCAGGTCTACGCGGGGCCCCCAGCTGGGGACTTGGTGTGTGTCCTTTCGGGGGCCAGCTGTGGAGACAGAATTAGAAAGGCTGTGAGTAAGGGTGTCGTGAAAAGGGGGAAGATGTCACAAGTGCGAGACAGAGCGAAAGCAAGAGGCAGAGAGAGACAGAGTAGGCAGGGGAGGTGGAAGACAGAGGGGGGACGGAGAAGGCAGGGGTGGGGAAGGACAAGAGAGGACGGTCAAAGATAATGTCAAAAGGCAAATGAGAAAGGAGACTTGGGACCATGGGAAATACCATACTTTGTCATACATGTGGTGTGCGCTGTAACCCATGCAGGCACATCCATCTACTGACTCAGTCAGCTCTCCCTCTCCACGGCAGTCCTGCTCTGCAAGGCACAGTGCCCGAGCAGGTGAGTTCTGCGTCACCATCGCTGCTGGGAGACACTGACTTGGGTCCCTGCGAGTTGCTGGCGAAATTTTCATCAGCCCACTGATACATCGCCCGGTTTTGTGTGTTCCTGTTTGATGACCCCTCGGTTAGGTTACCTCGTGACCCCGCCCAACGGCACTGTCCCTGGTGCCTACAGGAGGTGCCTCTAAGAGTGGGCACCCCAGTCTTCCAGCGCAATGCTTGGGGCTATTTTAAACAGTAAAACCCCCAATGTAAAGCACAAAACTACAAAAACCGGGCACAAGAAGGGCCCCTGCTTACAGCGCCAGAGGTGAAGCAGGAGGGCGACCTCCACCGGGAACCCGGTGGTGGGCAAGTCACAAGCCATACTGCCCATGCTGCCCAGGGACCAGGAAAGCGCTGTGAGTCCTGATGTGGGGGTGAGGGGGGGTGACTGCTGCTGTGAATAGGAGTGTTGGCAAATAATGAACCGGTGAGTACTGAGAACCGGCTGTAATGAGGAGGGCTGTAAGCCCACAAAGTGCGGTCACCTTTTTAAGGACTCTACAGATTAAAAAAATAAAAAGTATTTATGGGCCCTTCCTGGTGGCGCAGCGGGTTAAAGCACTGCACTGAGAAGCTAAAGCCACTTCCGCATGAGTTCGATTCCCGCCTGCCCCGGAGGTGACCACATGGCGTGGCAGACCTCTCCTGACCCGCCCGCTGCTCCCCTCAGCAGTGTACTTCGTTGATCTGCCTGTTCTGTTCCCCACTCTGTCTCTGGTGAAGCCTCTCACCGCCCCTGAGCCTCTGGCCTGTACCCCAGTTCTGTATGCGCAAATAAAAAAAATCTTTAACAACAACAAATAAAAAGTATTTATTTATGCACACAAGAGCTGGGTGTAGGCCAGAGATGCAGGGGGTGAGGGGGCCTACCAGAGACACAGCAGGGAGCAGAACAGGTGGATCTACTGAAATCCAGTGCTGAGGGGAACCGGGGGAGACAGAAAAGGTCTGCTATGCCATGTGGGTCAGCTCCCTGGCTGGGAATCGAACTTGTGCTGCAGTGGCTGGGACAGCTTCATAGTGCTGCATCTTAATCCCTTGTGCCATTAGGGAGGCCCCAGGACTCTACAGATATTAACCCATTTCACCTCCCTCCAGTCCGCCGAGGCTGGTGCTTTTATTACTAGCTCCACTGTGTGGATGAGAAAGCTGAGGTTCAGAACATTTAAACAATAAGCATGAAATCCCTAAGCTGGGGAGAGGCCAAGCTGGGATTTCAGCCAAGGCGGGCTAACCCCAGAGTCCCCACCCTTAGCTGCTACCCCCCAGACAATCCCCTCATCTTGTCCTTTTCTCTTTTAAAATCTAATGCAAATATGGCAAAAATGTCAAGATAAAATGGAGCTGGGTGAAAATGTGCATGCCTTTGTTATCATTTTATGAATGCTTGGAATAGTCCAGATTTGAAACAGTGATAAAAAGAGTAGCCTGGAAGAGAGGGAGGGGAGCATGGAGTGGCCTGCTCTCTTCCTCTGGAGCCACAGGCCTCTGGAAGGATCTAGAGAGCATCTGTCTCAGGTGCTTGGAGCATGGGATCCTACCCTCTGCTTCCAGGCATATGCCCTGGCGTGGAAGTATCTGCAGAGCTCCTAACCGAGGTTGTTTCCTCCCTTCTCTCTGCTTAGAGTGCCAGAAGCCAGGCAGTCTGTAAACCTCCCAGCAGCAGAACCAGAGCCATGAGGGGGTGTCTCCTGCACAGGCTTCTCCATGGAATCCAGCTGAATGCACCGTGGAGGCTGACGTGTCTGGGAAATTCTTTATCAGACCAATGGTTAATGTTAAAAGGAATGACTGGGGGAGATGGGGTGTCCCTTTCAGAGGGGAGGTGGGGTGTCCCTTTGAATTGAATGGTTCACATTTATGCATTTCAGTGCCATGGCAATTTTGCCTTAAAGAATTGTAGAAAAAAATGAATGATTATCAAAGAGAGATACAGGAGGGAAGGGGAGGCCCTAGAGGGGAAAGGCATGGGACAAGCATGACTGGGCTTTGGTAGCTACTAAAGCTAGATGAGAGGTGCCCGGGGGCTCATCATGTCATCCCAATTACTCTCTACATTTCTGAAAGATGCCCTAACAGGATGAAAACAATGTCAGTCATCAGCAGAGCTGGGGTTCAGGTGCCAGGCTGGATCTGTGTCTCTCAGTGGGTTGATGCCAAGAGGTCCAACATGGGGTGACAGTTCTGGGGTCAGGGTCAGCTCCCCCATACAGGGGCTGGGTGACCTTGGGCAAATGACTTCCCGTCAGTGTCCTCCTCTGCAAACTAATCACAGTCTCTCCTCCCCATGTGGTCACAGAGAGGCTCCCAGAACAGGGCCTGGCCTGTGGTTTACACACAGCAGGTGCCAGTAAAAATGTTATTGACATCAATACTATTATTTGGTGAGCAGTCTACCCTCGAACAAAGCGGGCTTGAGTTGTGTGGGCCCATTTATTCTAGAAGTTTTTTTCAACCCCTCCTCCTCAGCTTCCTCCTTCACTCCAGGTGAAGAAGACAAGGATAAAAACCTTTATGGTGATGCACTTAGGATTCGAGAACATTTTCTTTTGTCTAGCTGACTTGATTTTAAGAAGCCAGAACAGAGGAAACAGAAAATAGAAAATACACATTCCTGGACGGCAGTATGGGGAAGGTTTCTGGCTAATAGCAAGCTGTGGGTTATGAAGTTTCGGGGGCAAGTCCAAAGTTGTCTGTGGATTTTCAACAGTGAGGGCTGGGCATCCCCAACCCCGGTGAGGTTCAAGGGTTAACAGGACCTTCACAGGTTGCTGGCTCATTAGAAAAGGTCAGAGGTGCTTCTACTCTTTGTCACCCCCCACCCTAGTCCCTCTTGTTAGGATCTCCTCCGGATCTGAAAAGCTGAAAGCGGGAAGAGGAGGTGGGGTTGGCTGTGTTTTTAACAAACACCCCAGGATCCAATGCAGTGGTGTCTGCACTGCAGGGGTGCACCTTGGAAGTCTGACCAGTAAGAGCACTTTGCTGGTAAAGGCAGACTCTGCAGCAAGGCAATCGGGGTCCCAGCCTGCCGCGGCCCCTAATCAGCTGGAGGGCCGAGGCCAAGTTCCTTAGTCCTCGGCGCCTCTCAGTTTCCCAATCTGCAAAATGGGGACAACAGGTGCCCCCTCCCCTCCACCCGACTGTTATGTATTAACCTTTAATCCTCAAGTGAAGTAAAAGTATTCTGCAGGCTGCTATACTCATTCTGTCTGCCATTGTGAGTATTGTCTACTGCAGCAACTCCCAAAGCTTTCCAGCCGAAGTCCAGGGTGGACGAATGTTGCATGCAGGTCCAGCCTCCCCGGTGGGTGCCACTGCTGTGGGCCACCCGCCAGCAGGCCAATGTGCTTCAGTCCTCCCAATTTAAATCGCCAGACACTAAGCCTCCCGTTTTTACCACTTGGTAGGTGAGATGAATGAAGCTAAAAGGAGCAGTTCTGGGAGACCCTGGCCAGCACAGCAAACACAAGGGCACCAGACCACGGGTGGGGCCAACCAGGCCTGCTAAGCGCTCCACCCAGCCGCAGGGGCCCAGCACCCGCCTCTCAGAACAAAAGGGTACCCACCAACTACTGAAGAAGGCAGAATTTGAACCCAGCCTGAGTAGTTGAGGTCAGTAAGGACCTCAGTAAGATGCCAGGTGTACTAATTGGCATGTTTTCCTTTCTCTCCTTAGAGTCCTTACCTTTTAGAACAATCTTCTGAAATGCCTAGGGGTGAAATGATAGAATGTCTGGACTTGCAGTTTTGTGGGTGTGCAGGGGGCGTGGAGACACCTGCTGTGCACAATGAGAGCCACCAGCCACAGGTGGCTGTCTATGTACCTTGAAGCTCAATTCTCAGGGGTCCCTTCTTCCAGCATACAGCACTTGATTGCACTTCACAGGCACGGTGCTATTTACAAGCTGCAGGTTTGTGGCAACCTGCGTGGGGCCAGTCTAGCGGAGTCGTGTTAATTTCATGCCTCTGTATCCCACTGAATTCAGGTAGGTACTCTGCCTTTCAGACATGATTCTATTGCATGCTTAGCAGACTACAAGTGGCGTGTAAGCAGCCCCACAAGCACCGAGGAAGTGCTTTCTGGCGCTATTTGCTTTGCCGGGGAGGCCTGGGACTGCACCCTCACACCTGTCTTTAAAACGCAGTGACACCCAGGGCAAGGGCTTGAGCAGACACTCCCCCTACAGACATCTGTGTTTCAAAGAAGAGCTCCAAATGGCCAAAGAGCGTGTGACGATATGCTCAATCTCACTTACCCTTAGAGAGATGCAATCAAAAATGCAGCTACCACCTCACGCCCCTTTGGGCGGCGACTCTCAAAACCCCCAGAAAATCACAAGTACAGGTGGGCATGTAAAACAATGCAGCTGCTGTGGAAAACAGCTTGGCGGGTCCTCAAACAATTAAAAATAGAATTTCCATACGATCCAGCAAACCCATTTCCAGGTGGGTGCCCCAGACAATGGAAAGCTGGGGCTCAGAGGTATTAGCACAGTCCTGTTTACAGCAGAGAGGTTCACGGCAGCAAGACCACGGAGGTAGGGCGGGGGGTGGGGAGTGGGGGTTGGTCTAAGCATCCGCACGCAAAGGTGTGAGTGGCTAAGC